GCAAGAACTGGAGTTGCTAAATTAACATCAGACAAAACAGATTTTAGAATAAAGAATATTGCCAAGGATAAAAAAAAAAGTTATTCCAAAATTACAGAGTGGTAAATGTATCAAGACAACATAATCATCTCGAAGATCTACACAACTAATAAAACAGCTTAAAAATACATGTAGTTAATCAGTTTTTGGTTCAAGGATAAGTAAATCAATCCACAATTATAGTCAAAGGTTTTAATAACTTTCTCTCAATGACTGATACAAGTACACAGAACATCAGTAAGTATATGAAAGTCTTGAACAACAATATTGCCTAATTTGACTAAACTGAGTATATATAGAACACTCTACAAGAACAACAGGATTGACATTCTTTTCATGTGTATATGGAACATCTATCAAAACAGACCATATCCAGGGCCGGCCCGGTGGCGCACTGCTACAGTGCGCCGCTTGGGAAGTGTGGCGGTGCTCCCGCCGAGGGTTCGGATCCCATGTGCAGACCGGCCGCTCACTGGCTGAGCGAGGTGTGGGCGCAACACCGAGGGTTGCGATCCCGTTGCCGGTCCCGGTCCGGTACGGGTGCGACACTGAAGGTTGCGATCTGTTGCCGGACACGAAAAAAGACAAAAAAAGGAAAAAAAAAAAATCAGAGTAGAATTAAAGTACCAATAACCATGATATATGGAAAATCTGCAAGTATTTGTGTAAACTAAATAACACACTGCTAAATAATCCACAGGTCAAAGAAGAGAACAAAAGAGAAAGTACTTTGAACTGAATGAAAATGAAAAACACATCATACATCAAAGTTGGTGGGATGCAGCTAAGGCAGTACTTGAATGCAAATCTATAGCACGATTGCCTATATTAGAAAAGAAAAAGATCTCAAATCATTGAACTCGGTTTCCACTTCAAGTTCTAGAAAATGAAGAACAAATATCCAAGTAAGCATCAAAAAGGACTTAATAACTGATTCTAAATTTTACATGAAAAGGCTGGCTGGTTAGCTCAGCTGATTAGAGAGTGGTGTTAGAACACCAAGGTCGAGGGTTCAGATCCTGATACTGGCCAGCCACCAAAAAAATAAATAAATAAAATAAATTTCATATGTAATTGGAAAGGACCTGGAATAGTCAGTCAAAGCAACTTAGAAATGGATGGACCTTGAAAGAATAATATTAAGTGAAACGAGTCAGGCAGTGAAAAAGAAATACCACATGTTTTCACTTATTGGAGGGAGCTAAAGGTGAATGAATCAATTCACACACATACACACACACACACACACACACACACTCACTCTCACACACACACAAAAAAACAAACAAACAACAACAACAACAAAAACAAAAAAAAAACGGGGGGGTGGGAGAGGAAGATTTAACAACCTCAACTTTTTTTTTTTTTTTTGAAGCTCTTACAACGAGAAAATGGAGGGGACACATCTGGGGGGGGGGGGGGGGGGGGGGGGGGG